GTCTTTTAAAAGCTTAATTTCCAAATCCATATTGGTTTGATGGATCTTTAATTGGCGGATTTTAGCTTTTAAATTATTAACCTCCATCCTTAAATCGGGAAGATTAGCAGGACGAGAGTTCTGGCTTTGATGTTCTAATCTGTTTAGAACTTCTTTCATGCTATAATGATTCTCAGATTTGATAAAGTCTGGGTTGTCATTAACTTCTTAAGGCTGTGCGATAGCATAACCTATTTCAAAGATCTTCATTTTAATCTGAGGATCTTGAACTTGATCTATAAGATCCAACAAGGATTGTTGATGGGCAGTTATAACATTTAAACTGAGCCCATTCATTTCAACAATAGCCTTGTAATAGTCATTCTTCTGATGACAAGAACATTCTGGATTACTCTTTTCTTCTTCAGAGGAAGATGATGATTACAATTCCATGAGTTCTTCGGAATCAGAAGATACATTTTCAGAAGAACTAGTATTAAGCAGTAATTTGCTTAATTGGAGTTTTAACTCTTCACTGATTGGAAGACTGTTAAGTTTCTCCTTAGTTCTGCACTTATTGGCATAGTGGCCTATCCGTCCACATTTGAAACAATTAGCCTCTGTCTTGGGCTTTCCTTTACCCTTTGCTTTTGGATAGGTTTTCCTTTTGGGCTTAGTGTACTGTTTCGAATTATCAACCTTTTGTTAATATTTCTTTCGAGAATATTTCTTTTTATAAGGCTTATCAACCTTATGTCTTTTCTTAACTTTAGGATAAGATAAAGGAGTCTGATAGGCAAATTGATCACAAAATTCACCTACTTCCTTTTTACCTGTTAGTCTCTGTTGTTTTAACTCAGACTGTAACTTCAGATCATTACAGAGAGCTAAACCTTCTTGGATTACGATGTTGACTAATCCACCATAGGTATAGTTCCTGTAAGGGATAGAGATTTCATTGTTCATATCCCTTAATTTCTTTCTGATTCTTTCAGCAAAAAAGGTTGGAAGACCATCTACAAATTTTGCTTTCCAGTGTTCATGATTTGCATCACGAAGCTATAAAACCTTGGCTAAGAAGACATCTTTGTACCACCGGAAATGAGTTAAAGATGGACATCTTAGGTTCTGTAATAACTCTCTACTCCTTTCACTGTTAGCGCCTTTTGGGCCAACGAAATGTTGAATGATTGTGGTGATGAGAGAATAAACCGCATCAGCAGCTGGGCCTTCTTGCTGAGTATTTTCATCCTTGACAATCTTGACAGCTGAAAATATCTCGGCCTTCTGAATGTCAGTGAGAACATTATCCCACCATCCTTTAAGGATGCATGTAAAATCAGCAACAACAAATTTGGCAATTGTTGGATTAGTGTTGTGGCTAAGTTTACAGACTTGACTGTACATTAACATTTGATGTACAACCTCATAAATCTGATAGTCAGATTTACCATCAATGTTCCATTCATAAATGGTTTTCCCATGGAAAGATTTCTGAGTATGAAAATAATCTTCTTCATACAAGATATCTTGAGGGGTTGGTCTAAGATAATAATATCTACTCGGAGCAGGAGCTGTATTTGAGTGGATATTTTTATCATAGACAATTCTGTTAAGATCAGGTATAGTTGAAAAAGCAGCCTGAAAATCCTCAATATGAGGGGAAAATTCATTTTCAGAAACAGTGTCAGAGTCAGTATGAGACAAAGTTTGGATTTTAAGTCCTTGAATTTTCTGAGTAAGGAGTTGAAGAAATTCTTCATTCTTTTTCTGATTAGACAACTTGAAACCTGAAACCTCAATAGCAGGTTGAACAAGAGCCTTTGATATGGGAGCTTCTGGGGAAGGTTTGACAGAGATAGTTTTAGTATTAAGAATATTTAATACCGTATCAACACCTGTTTCAATTCTTCCCAATTGGGACCCTATCGTTTGCATACAAACATTAGTATAATTATTCTGTTGGTATACTTTATAAAGATCTTCTTTAACAACAGCACTGGCTTTGTTAATAAAAGATGGTTGGCTATAAGCGTTGGTTTCTATTTTAGCACCGGTATCCTCATCTGATTTTTTCAAAATTAAAGGTTCAGTTGGAGAATGGACCGAATGAATAACTTTATCAGTTTTGGTGGTCCATGTTTTCAAAAAATCATCCAAAATATTTAAATTCATAATGGAATGATTTGTCAGACAAAACCAAGAAACAAAAGGTATAACCATTTTTTTTTCTTGAAGATATGCATAAAACTGTGTTTTATAAAACTGTAATTTTTCATCATCAAAAGTTTTAAAATACCAATTTCTAAACTCTTGATATTTTTCCTGTTGAAATTCAACATTAATGGCTTTTCTATCAGGTGTAAAATCCATTAAAACTAATATTCATCTCGTTCATCACTTTTTTCTTCAGTCTTCTCTTCAACACCCAATTCTGATGGTGTGGGAGTGAAGTCTATTCCAAATTCCCGACGTGATGGATTCTTCGGTGCTAGTTCATAAACAGCTTATGGAATTTTATTCTGTGATTGCTGGATTCCCTTTAGCTTGAGTCGATCAGCCTCTGTAAATTCATCTTTGTCCTTAGACATTCCTGAGACAGAGTTGCGAGAAGGAGGGTAGGAAACCTTATAAGGAAAATTAATTCCTCTAGATGATGTAGATCTGAGTAGATCTAAAGATCTTCTGAAATTAAGAAGAACATCACCATCATTGTCCTGGATAACATAGTCCAAATTCCTATTGAGAATAGGTTTTGCAGGAACTGCATTAGGAATTATCCAATGGTCAGGGAATGTTATTTCACTCCAAGGAATCATCCTTTTGGTGGCAATATTTGAAGTGAACATATTTGTATCCCAAATCGCTGTTACTCCTTTAGAATCTTTGCGAATGACTTTCGGACAGTAGGTATCAAGTACCTTAAAATGGATGCGATAAATTACACTTATCACTTCCGATCCAGGTAAGAAATCATACCCATGAGTCTGTACACGAAGACTAGCTGCTTCGTATATGTTTCTATCAGTTAGAGATAGATTCAGACTAGGATAGACATCAAAGTAAGCTGGTCCATGACATAAACTGGTTTCCAGTGCACCCATCAAAGAAGGGTGAAATTTTAAACACCTAGCATCCCTAAGTGTTGCTTGAATACAAGCATCCATACCAAGTAAGGTTAAAGGTTTAAAAGCAATTTGAATTAAACCTATATGGATATACTTATATTTCTTTATATATCTCTGAAGATCACAGGGAGACAATAATTTAATTATTGTGTCCTTGTTACTCAATTGCATCGTCTGTTCCATAGTTTTAACTGCCCATAAATCAGCGATATTGAGCATTCCGATTTTGTAAATGCTTCTTGCATCTACTGGTGGAATAGTCCACTTGCTCAATTTATTTTGAACATCAGTAAATTCAATTAACTCTGAATTCTTGATAAATTCAGAATCATGTGAATCATGTTCTGTCATACTGGAAGATGGGTTTAACATGTTTGTTAAAATATTGTTAATGCTTAAAATCTGCATAGAATAATCATTATAAAATTTTGTAATGAACAGTAAGTTATTATTCTGTCGTCGTGTTGCCTAAAAGAGGTCCTAATACTCGTCTGTCAACGGTTTACTGAAAACAACGACCTTTGGAGCAATTTAATGCAAAAGTGGTCTAAAATTCCAACGCGACTTTTGGACGACCCATAATAGAATCTACTAATAAGTAGGATTTAAACAAAATAGTAGTCTCATTATTCTTTACATAATTATCATAATAATCATCCTACCAGAAACTTAAAACATTAACAATATAAGTTTAAGCCAACATATGGCTCTGATACCAATTAATGTTAGGATCGTAATAACAGTATAAGAATAATATTTCGTATTCAAAAATATATTGAGAAATTTTTATATGGTCGAGGACTACATGATCATAATCAATTACATTCGCCCATATATATAATTGTGTTAGATTTTTTACGTGACCGTTTGTGATTGATCGAAATCATATTATAATTTATCAAAATGCATGCCCTGCAGTAGCACTCCAGCTTTACAAAGCTATACATAGCTCTTGATATCAAGAACTTGGGATTCTATTAATTACTATATCATACCAAACGGTGGTGAGTATTAAATTGGGATGACCTTTCAGTCAACTAATACAAGAGCTTTGAATTGTCCACCTCATCATTTTGTCAGTGGTTGACTAAGTCTAATCCAACCACTTTGAATTGTCCACCTCATCATTTTGTCAGCGGGTTAACCAACTCTCTATGTGCTCTAGGTGTTACTGTTGTATGCTTTATTTTTTCTCCAAAAAGTGAAAAGATAAGTGCTCTTGGTCTAACTGTTGGTGTGATTGTTGTATGCTTCTTCTTTTTTCAAAAAAAAAATTTAGTAAAAAGAGGTAAGAATTGTGACGTCTCACATTGTTCAAAAAAAAGTGTTAACACAAGGGTTGTTTCACATTTTCGAATGTCACACCAAAGAGGACAGTAAATGTAATATAATTGTAACCGACCCACGCCACAAAATAAAGTTGTTGACAATTATAGAGTGATACTTCGTAAATATTGTTAGTGTATAGGTGTCTCCTATGTGTTTGTATATATATAGAGAGGTACTAATGAGGCCGGATAATCCAAGCTGTTGGTTTTGGGCCAATAAGTTTGGTGGGCCCGGGCCATCGAGGAGCCCAAGTGAGTATAATTGTGTGATGATTAAGCAAATCAAAAGTAAGTTTCCTTACATGAAAAAGGAAGGCTACCAATTCCTTTCTTTTGGTAACAAAGTAGGTGGCCAAAGCTTTCATTCACCTACTGATTTAGGTTAAAAAAAATGATATTCTATCACACAAGATAGGTGGAATGTCACCTGATTGACAAGATTTTTTTTTGAAAAAAAAAAAGAAAAAAACCTTTACAATCATGCTCATAATAACCCAGTAATAAATTAATATATTAGTTAGTGATCAATTCTCATTTTCTTAAAAGTGGGAAAATTACTGGAAAATCTCACATGCAAATGTAGAAGATTGTATATATTGTCATATAAATTCTTATTTTGTCCTGTGTTTACATCACTCCTCTGTCAACATTTCATATAGGTGAGACAAATACATGATGATGACCTAGTGTACAAAGCGAAATTTGGTTTTTTCCTCTTATTTTGGAATTTCCAAATAAAAAGTCATATATATATCCTTATCCAACAGGCAACAATTACCACATGAATTATCTACTTCTTAGGTGCAAACTTTGACTTGATCTTGTTAACCTCCTTGGTACCAACCTGGAACGCCTTTGTCAGCACATCATCCGGCACCGGCGGTGCCGCCGCGAACAACGTGACGGGGATGGACTGGGTGCCGGGCAACTGGCTGTTGAAGGCGGAGATGACGGCTGCAGGAGACTTGCCATTGTTCTTCTGGAAGTGGACTAGACCTTTAGGAAACACAAATATTTCACCTTTCTTGATGGACTTGGAATGGAGCACATCGGCTGTTGTTATGAACCCCACATCCAATTCCCCGTTGAGCACGAACACCACCTCGGTGGCGCGTGGGTGGGTGTGAGGCGGGTTCAGGCCGCCCGGGGCGTAGTCGATGCGCGACAGGGACACTCCCAGGGTGTTGAGCCCTGGGATTTTCTGGACATTGGCTGCAGTCACCAGTGAACCCATTGTGGTGTTTGTGAGCCCTGGTTTGGCCAGCCCACTAAAGAAAAAGTCCTCTGCTGTTATGTTTTTCTTGCATGGATATCCGTTCACCTTCACACCTATTTCATGCACATATACATAAATCTTGTCAATTGAATTCACAAATATATATATATACACACACACACACACATGAAACTATATGATTCTTAAGGACTTGAAAAGAATACTAATTTAGCCTATAAGCATTTATGGTATGTTTTTTTTGGGAAGTTCAAAAAAAGCGCACATACTAAGTTGCTCAACTTACAAACTTACAAAACAATATTATACTATCTAAGCTAATGTCCATTAGTATATACTCCGTATATATACCATTGTAGAAAAATGAAGAGGTGTTGATTTTGAATGTAATCTGGATTTCAAGAATTACAAATAATTTCTAACATGAATGAAGAAAAGAAGAATGGGTTTTTAGTAATTGGAACCTGATTTGAGATCAGCAACGCAAACATCTTGTTCCATATCAGAATCTGCCGTAACAATGTTGGAGACGAAGGCGAAGGTGATCATAATCATCATCATCATCACAAGCAATGCTCTACCAGCAGCCTTCATAGCTAAAAAATGTGTATATAATTTGAGAGAGAAGAAAGCAATCAAAGCTAAATAAAGAAGCTCAGAGAAAGAAGAAGAAAGGTGGGGATAAAACAGAGAGAAAAGTGGTTGCTTATTTATAAGTCGAGATAGAGAGATAAAAAGACAAGAATTGTGAATGCAAAAGCACGAAACATGCCTTCTTAGACACAAAGTAAAGGAATCATCACCCAAAATGGGCCCATGGAGACTTGGAGGGCTGATTTAGTCTTTGACACTTGCGGTTAATCTAATATGAAAAGAAATATATATATATATATCTCGAAATATAGTATGGTGCTTGACATATATCTTGTCGTTTATTTTAAGCTCAATCAATGTCTATTTATTTTATATATATATATAACATATTGGATCACTTTAAAAAATAACATAAAAACATACAAAATAAAGGCACACGAAAACATATTAATTGGTGTGAATATTTCTGTCATTAATTAGATCCAGTAGTATCTTCAAAAAAAATTGAGATATTCAGATGAGTGATGTCTGAGAGCTTAGTAAAATTCATTTATATTTCCTTTTCTTTTCTTTTTTTTCATAAATGCTTGATAACTATCAAATAAATGTTTTGGCATATGACAATTGCAATGCCACACTTTTTTTATGTTTTTTGGGACAAGCAAAGATTCTCTTCATATTTCTTTGAATGGTTTATTATGCACTTTATGCTTTTGCTTTCTTTGATTTCATTTGCATTCTATTTCTGGTGGTTCAATGTGGACTCTCTTTGGAGAAACATTGAGGAATTATGACCGCGATTTTGGTAATTATCTCTACCACGACTATACCCATGATCACGTTCACGATCGTGAAATAAGACTACATTTACTTTAGGAAATGGTGTTGATCCGATGGATTGGGGCTGATGATTTTTTATTGAAGTTGGATACGTGCATTTGTTGCAAGAACACATTCAATGCCTAAGACGTACAATTGTTGCAAGAACACATTCAATGCCTAAGACGTGGAGTATGATTTCTTTAACATGTCTTCATCTCTAATTTTCTCTCATATAATTTTAACCTAATTTTAAATAAGGTTAAATTATACTCGCTTATAATTTTAAAATCATGTAAGAGTATCATATCGAGCTTTTAGAAAGGTTATACTTTTTTGGGCTTATGTTGTTGAATTTTTTTCATTGTGTTAGTGGGTCCTTACATGTGAGGAAACTAAGTCTTTAATTCCTCGTGAATATGATAGCGAAAGAAAATCATTACAACAACGTTTAATTTTTTTCTTTAATTGTATACCCAATATTCATTGCATCAATGATCCATGAGCCCTTTAATGATTTTAGAATCATAGAAGTAAAATGACATATATTTCATCTTTGAAACAATTAACATATGGAATGCACAATTAACATAATGTAATTAGCTACTTAATTATAGAGCTTATAATGAAAGTGAAGAATTTGTCATCCATAAAGCGAATGCTGCAAGAAAGTAAAAAAAAAAAAATACAATATTGCTTTTTCTATGTGCATGCATAGAAAAATGGTTTAAATGAAAAATAACAATAATAACATAATTTATTTTGTTTAGCTGCTTTTAACAAATTTGCAAAAACATCACGTCTGCAAAAAGTTTGAAGTTTTGCAAAGAATATATTTAGTCCGGTGTTTACATCACTTCTCTCAACACTTCATACAGGTGAGAAAAATACAAAAAAAATAAAAAAAATGTTCCAAGTTTTTAATATTTTGGAATTTCTGAAATTAAATGTCCCTTAAAAGTCATATCCTTATCGATGAACAACAAGAACCAACACATGAAATATCTACTTCTTAGGTGCAAACTTTGACTTGATCTTGCCAACCTCCTTGATATCAACCTGGAATGTCTTTGTCAACACATCCTCCGGCACTGGTGGAGACGCTGTGAACAATGTGGCGCCGACGGAGAGGGTGCCGGGCAGCTGGCTGTTGAAGGCGGAGACGATAGATGCAGGAACCTTGCCATTGTTCTTCTGGAAGTGGACTAGACCTCTAGGAAACACAAATACGTCACCTTTCTTGATGGACTTGGAATAGAGGACATTGCTTGTGGTTATGAACGCCACATCCAATTCACCTTCAAGCACAAACGATATCTCGGTGGCGCGTGGGTGGGTGTGAGGCGGGTTCAGGCCGCCCGGGGCATAGTCCATGCGCGACATGGACACTCCTAGCGTGTTCAGGCCTGGTATTTTCTGGACATTGGCTGGAGTCACCGATGTACCCAGTGCAGTGAAGTTGACCCCTGGCTTAGCCAGGCCATTAAAGAAAAAGTCCTCTGCGGTTATCTTTTCCCTGCATGCATATCCATTCATCTTCACACCTGTTTCATTCACGTATAAATATATACATGTAAGCACAATTTCATAAATATGTTTAGAACCCAATTTCAAATTCTCATTGGTGAAGTGTTAAGAGAACTATATGATTCTTGAGGACTTAAAAGAGTTCAGCCTATACGCATATAGAGCATGATTTTCTCGAAAGTTCAAGCAAACACGGTTACGCAGACACACTCACAATATTGTCCCAAACAAGGTTTGATCACTCGACGTCTCCTATAGGAGAGAGAGATTATACCATCTAAGCTAATGCCCATTAGTAACATTCAAAATATATTGCTTATCAGTTATCGTAGAAAAATGAAGAGATGTTAATTTTGAATCTACTCCGGATTTCAACAGTTACAAATAATTTCAACATGAAGAAAACAAGAACGGGTTTTTAGTCGTTTGAACCTGAAGTGAGATCAGCAACACAAACGTCTTGATCGCAATCTGCAGAAACTGTGTTGGAGACGATGGCAAAGATTGTCATCATCAAAAGCAATGATCTACCAATAGCCTCCATGGCTATTAAATGTATGAGTAAATGTGGCTATGTGTTATAATTTGAGAGGGAAGAAAGCAATAAAAGCTAGGAAAAGAACCTCAGAGAAAATGTGGGATTAAACCGAGAATGAAAAGAAAATTGGTTGGCATATTTATAAGGGCATTGTAAGGAAATTTGAGAGAGAGAGGGAGACTCGAATTGTGAATGCGAAAGCAAGAAACATGCCTTTTTTGGCACAAAATAAAGGGATCGTCAGGGACAGACCCAAATGGGCCCCTGGATAGTTGGAGACTATGCCTCAAATTTAGAAATTTTGACTCCGTCAAAATAACTCAGAGAATATTATTAATAGAAAGCTGACAGCGATTACTGATGAATCTACAAAAAGAAATTTAATTTTTTGAATCGAAAACTCAATATTGTTACAACAAGAATTGCAAAACCTTTTAGAAAATTTGATATTGTTGGGGAATATATAGCTGGACAATTGAATAATCGAGTTTTATTTAGCAAAGAAATGAAAAAAAACTATTGAATTAACTGAATTAGAAGATACAAAAGGAATTGAAGTACAAAAAAATCATCATCCTTGTCTTAATCCCATACCATATGAATTCTCTCTCTCCAACCTTTTCTATTACATGTCATTTCACTTACTATATGTAACTTTTTAAAGTCATTTTTAATAACCTCATCCCATATTATTTTTGGCCGTCCTCTCTGTCTCTTACCTTCTGATACAACTAGTCTTCCTCATTTGACCGGCGCATCTCTAAACCTCCGATCTAAGATGTCAGTTTCACTAGTTTCCTTAAATTTGAGCTTGAACTTTGATTCAGCTGGTTATACCCAACCCAGACTATTGGACAAACCCTATTTTTATAATTTAATTCAATACATCACAGAACAATATCATGTAGTAGTTAATTATTTAAGACAATGTGCCAAACACCCAAAAAGAGAGTCAATGACATAATCAATTCTTCTTGTTGCCTAGGCACCAAACACATCAGCAGATTAGAACTTTTTCTTTCCACTCTCTAGTTCAAGTCCTTATTCTTCTTGTATTGCAATATTTCTTGTTCATTCTGTTATTTTGTCAATTGTCTAAGATTACTGTAGTTAATATGAAGGAAGTTACCACATTGCCTAGCATGGAATCGCAAGGATAACAATTTGGTAGGAATGGGCCATCAGAAGATGGAAGAAAACTAATTTTCGAAGTGAAAGAAAATACTACCTAACCTCCAAACTAAACCTCCTAACTACCTAATTATTTTCCCATCATATTTTCTTGTCTGTCATTGCTAGGTGCACTGGTAAAAACTCGAGCAATCAAGTGTCCATGAAAATGTTGGTTAAAGTTGGTTTAGATCTGTACCTAGTTCAGTTTCTAAAAACGATAGTTTACTTCACATTTCAACATTATTTTCCAAAGGTCCTTCCGACCATCACCAAGAAAACAATCTTTTAATAAACAAATTCATCTGATCGAAACAATATTTCAGTGAATGGTGAGGGCAGTATAATTACTCAAATCTCATAAATATTTGGTGAAAGGAAATATGTTTTCTGCTCAGTTTGACATCAGCCTAAGAAAGAAATGGAAGGGTTCTAAAGACATTTGCTAGTACCTGAGATTAACTGTTCCTTTCTTCTGGAGAATTAGTACTTACTGAAGACCGGCATTTGGCAGGTGACGGGTTCAGCAAGCATGGAGGGCGCTGAAAATTCTTTTTCCCGAGGTTTTTTGTACACTGCACGACCCCGAGGTTCCAGCCTCTTTGAAATTTGGTTTCTGACCTATCTATATTGTTATGGAGATAGGTCATCATTGTCATTTACGAGTTTTCACCAATAGTCTTTGCAGGAACATAATCCGTTCTTGAAGTGATGAAATCGAACTCTGTCCCTGACAATTATCTCTCTATCATATGCTTTGGAGACGAACTTGGTGAATGTATGGCAATCTTTACAAACTCTCAAGTTCTTAACAATCCGAAGACTCACTCCTTGTGGCATTCTTGCCAATCCAAAAGCAATTGCCAACTTCTCACTATGAAAAGAATCAAAATTTTCCATACACTTTCCTGCAGTAGATTCAGGAATTGCCGTCATTGAATCTCTCACATAACCAACCAAGGTGGCCTTATTAATTACTTCCTCCAACTTGTGATAGATTTCTTTTGAATCAGGATGTGAATAGTCATCCACAACAAATCTATGAACTCTTTCACCAACTTCAATCGAACTCCAGCCCTGGCTGGTCTTTATGCCTTGGCTTCTAATCATTTTTCTCATCCTTGCAACACCTTGTGAGTCTTTGGCTTCAGCATATATTCCAGCAAGAAGTATGCAGTCTCCGGCACTCAGTGTCCCAATCTGAACAAGGTTTCTCATCGCAATTTCTCCTTTTTCTACATCTTTATGAATCTTGCAGGAACCTAACAAAGTTCTCCATAGGATTGGATCATTCGAGAATGGAGAACTCTCAATAATTTCAAGTGCCCTTTCAAGCTTTCCGGCTCGTCCAAACAGATCCACTATGCATCCATAATGCTTAATTTCAGGCTTCAAATTGAATTTGCAGCTCATCATGTGGAAATACTCAACACCCTCCTCAACTAGACCGAGGTGACTACAACCACACAACAAACCAAGAAATGTGATTGAATCTGGCTTGACTCCTGCCACCAACATTTGATTGAAGAATGATATTGCATGATCTCCGCAACCATGCGCTCCATACCCAACGATCATCGAGTTCCAAGTAAACACATCTCGCGTTTGCATCCCATTGAAGACACTAAAAGCACCATCCAAGCTTCCACATTTAGCATACATATCTACAAGAGCATTCCCAACAAAAACATTGTCCAAGAACCCATTGTCACTGGCCAATCTATGCATTTGAACACCAATACTCAACGCACCCACATGAGCACAAGACGAAAGCAAGCTAACGAGGCTAAACGCATCAAAACCCACATTCAAATTTCTCATTCTATCATATATCTTCAACGCCTCATAGTGCAAACCTGCCTGGGAGTAGCACGAAATCAAAGAATTCCAAGACACCAAGTCTCTTTCGGGCATTTCATCGAAAAGTTTCTGCGCAAGTCCAATCAAACCATTTACTGCATACAATCTAATGAGATTGGTACAAACAACAATGTCCAAATCATACCCAAATCGAATAATCGACCCATGAACCTCTCTGCATTTGATTTCGGCCTTAACTCTCTCACAGGCTTTGAGCAAGAACGAGAAAGTGACACTGTTGGGGCGAGAATGGGAAGAAGAGACCATGTCATTGTAGTATAGAATGGCTTCGAGAGGATTTGGGCTCTGAGAAAAGCCTCTGATCATACAATTCCAAGCTTGGGGTTGTGGGTTTTGTATTTGATGGAAGATTTGTTGAGCGTAGGATAAAGAGGCTGAGAGAGAAACAGCAGTCAAGTTGAGGAGTGAGTTTGAAATGGAGGGATAGTTTTGGTATCCGTTAACGATGACCTGAGCATGGATTTTCTGCAACATTTTCAGGCTGTTGCATCCATGTAAGAGGGAGAGAATGCAATGGGTTTTTGACATCTGGCACTCATATGAAGTTAGATACTGTATGGGATGATGAGAAGGGCCAAGTGAGCAAAGTTGAGTATAAATAATGCTTAAAAGAGAAATTCATTTCAAAATAATACTATTTAGAGCCATTGCCAAATTTTGGCAATCCAGCAAATTCACCTCAGTATTTTTTTTAAAGTCACATCAATGTTATCAAGGCCAAAGTTAACGGTTTGAACTTTCTAAATTTTTAACTAAAATTTTTGTTTTTATTTTTTTCTAAAGATTATATCATACTAAAATAAAAAAATAAAAAATAAAAAAATTAACAATACAATATTTATTATGGATTAGAAAAATTATAATAACGCAATACTATATGAATTTTTTTTTTTTATAAAAAAATTAAACAATACAATATTCTTATTAAAATCAATTAGGAAAGAAGAACAATCATATGAAAAGTTTTAAGGTAATGTTTGTGTCAGCCAAATAGTGCCTTAATCGCTCTGATATGTTGAGGGAAAAAAAATAACCAAAAAAACTTTAAAAACTAGTTTTTGGATTTTTTTCCAAGTTAAACACGTCCTTAATCCAATTTTGAACTAAGGACTATAGTGGTTTGTGCTTTAAAAAATAATAATAAAAAAGAACCAAAAACAAAAAAAAAAAAAAAAAAAAAAAAACCCGATCGCCAACTAAGTCGCCGTTTTAGGCAACCCTGCACGAGCCCTAAAATTTGGACCAAAATTTGGCTTGTCCATTGGAGCACTGGGCTCACGAAAATTGTTCAAAATTGCCAACCAACCACTGAGATGCTCTTAGACCTATTTTTAAAACGGAATAACGGAGTCAAAGGATTGGAAAATCAGTGAGAATATCGCATACAATATCTATAGAGTAATGATACTTGCATCGATTTGTTACGGTGAATTACCTCACCCAATATTGTTGATTGGTTATTTATGCACAATACATGTAAATGAAGGGTCCACTTCTTTATTTATGCATAAATAGATCAATTAAAACTTCTTTATTTATGCATAAATAGATCAATTAAAATAAATAAGTTTAACAATTCACTACAATTAATTACATAAATAAAAAAGTGGGTCTCCATTTACATGTATTGTGTATAAATAAATAATCAAAAACATTCAGTTAGGTAATTCATTGCAACAAATCGATGCAAGTATCTTTACTCATATCTATAAGGGATGGCAACGGGTGGGTTTGGTCCGCCCGTTGAAAAAAATTTCATACCAACTTCACCCTTACTTTAGAACAGGGTTTTTATGTATACCATCCCGCTTCCGTGGGCCAAACAGAGTACCAACTCTGTCCCGCTGCCTCCGTTCAATGTTGTTGCAGTTTATTGGAAGTTAGTTTGGATTCCAATTCATGTAATACAGTAGCTCATAGTGTATGTTAGTGGGCTTTATGCCCCAGAGCTGCTCATTATGAGTGACAGATATGGCCTAAATGGCTCATTGATATAAACTCTAAAGTTCCTACTATTGTGGTTTAAAATATGAGCCGTTTGAAAAAGGAAAAAAAAAACAACAAACTAGGAGAGATCATACTCGGTATGCATTCAATGGATTGGACCCCGTTATGAAACCTAAATTATCAAACGGAGGAAGAACAGCAATCGCAACTTTTACTAGCATACTTTGCTTTTGTTTGGATATGTCCACGAGCACCAACAGATGGCATTTAAGACCAGCATAGAGAATATACTAAATACACATAATGCCATTATAATTTATTTTTAAGATGAGAGAAGCTCAAATGAACTCGAGTCATTCCTGAATGGGGCAAAACTGATTTAACACATTTTCTATAAGCCATGCCAGTAAACGGCACGTTATAGCGTATGTTTCAGAACAGCAGTAGAGGAATGGTTTTTCATTTTGCCCATATAATAAGAGTTCAACCATAACTTTCTTGTTTCATTTTTTGAAGGTCAACCATAAGTCAGGAAGGCCTCAAATGTCAATTACTCCATGTTTTCTACACCTTTTTAGGCCTATGTCAACGGGAGCGGTTGTCTTTAACATAGGCAGGCATGTAATTCTATGAAGACAAAAGATCAACAAGATCTGTGCATATGGAAAGGCGGGGACTTCTATTTTGAATACGAAGATAAAACCATAAACATTCAACAAATACACATGAACATAATGAAGTCCAAAGTACAGCAAAAAAAAAGCAGGAGGCTCGGAAATACAAATCTAATCAATTTGTGGAATCTCACAACCATGACCAAACAGGTAGATTCGACATTTCATCCAGTAGCACGAGATACCAAATTGCTAAATGATTCGGGAACAACAAACCTGCAAAACAAATAGTAGCTCAATTGAGAGATCCATTCCAGCCTGCCGTTTTCCAACCAAGATAGTGAGTATTCAGTTTTTGTTAGTCTGATTTGAAAAACATAGAGAAAGAAGTCTGGCGGCCTAGAAGTATCAATTATCATTGATAGGACAAGTCAAGCTAAAACATTAAATCTGCAAGATATGTTAAGAACATAACAGTTTTGCATGGCTATTGGAAAATGCGGTCAATCTGTACAGACAAAAAACCTAAGCAGTCAAGCACTATACATTGAAGTAGCAAATATAATGATAGCGTCCTAAATTTCAGTTTCACCCTCACTCCAAATGGCAAAAATCAACCCTTCATTCATGCATCTCCTTGCTGTAAAAATAGAAGAATGATAACAGATGATGACAGACACGAAGGAGCAAACCTTCCAGTTAATCAAACAGTGTAAATCTAATATGGATGGGGCACCACGCAGATGGCCTAACTAAAACGAACTAACACGTGGACTGTTTGGATTGGGAATTTTGGTCCGCAAGACCTCATCTCAGATGCCAACTAAGTCAGATTTTAGATCTGAAGACGTCTCCCCATTAGTTATTTTATTCTCAGTTCTAGTTTTATTTAATTTTTTGGTCCAACACCGCATCAGTTCTGCCTAATGTCTTATTATTAACAAAGCCAAACGCACACCCAGATGCAGGAGTGTTTGCAGCAGGTAGCCAACCAAAATGAAACATATATTCGCATTTCATGAATATGAATTCATTTTTTTATTTTATTTGTTACGTGCAGCATCAAAGGGAAAAGATGGCCTTTACACTTGTCGAGTTAGTCCTTGAAATAACAGATGAGCTAAGTGCAGCTGCACTTGCTTGAACAGAAAGATATTTACACTACAGTGCAATTATGAGTTGACACACATCAAGCACGACATGATATAAACCATATCAATAGCAGAACCAAATCATACTCATTTCTTTCAGTAGCATGGTAGAAGATATCAACAAAATGTTTTCCCACACAAAGTGGATATTCAATGTTTCAGCTTTTTCCAGTTTAACAGAATTCACAAACAATTGAAATATTTGTTGTATAAAAAGCTCTTATAAAATCTCATCCACTAGTTAACCACACATAATTGAAGAAGATACTCTGTTGAAAAAATTATTCTTGTAAACAGAGTTCATAAGTTAAAATGATCATTCATAAGTTTTACTTTAACAATATCATATATGGCATCATTGTGGAACTATCAGAACATGCTTCAATTAAGGAAAGTAGCAGAGGTTATGAAGATTGAACTTTTGTTAAAGAAAAAGAATGAATAAACAAACAATACAAAATCTTCATTGTAAGAAGCATTCTCACCTGATGAGAATACAAGAGGTCCATCAGTCTATTTAAAGCTTCAGAGCCAAATCAACTACTTCTTCTTACCACCGCCAGCCTTGGACTTTTTGTTAGTAGTATTCTTTTCAGCCTTCTCGGATGTTTCCTGTCATTAAAGTGGGCAAAAAGACAAACAGTATATATAAATGCTGGAAGCAAAAACCCAAACTAATTCCAGGGTTCGGAAGTACAATGTTCGAGAAGAGAAGGAATCTAGAGCATTGTTTGAAACAGTTCTACACCAATCACTGATTTCAAAAGCAGAAGCTCAAAAAATCTACATAATTCTAAAGAAAATATAACTAGATATATACAGGCCAATGAAAAGAGATCAGGATATGATTTCGAGTATATTCGACAAATATGTATGGAAAATCAAATCCACGACTTTTGGAATTTAATGCTAAAGGAATGAGTAGATTTGCAACTTTCAGGACGTCAGTCAAACAGGACTGGTCGTGCAACATTGATGAGCTCCCAAAACAACAATAAAAGTGTTTCAAGATAAGGCAAAATAGAACGTGACAGCAGAGTCGGTGTCTGAATAGTTTTTGAAATAGCAATATGCAAAAATAGGAGAGATCTTCGACTCTACATACTTATAGCAAGAATACTTTGTGTTCACTTGAACTCTAATTTCCCCCAGCCCCACAAACCCCATCCTCTCCCCAACAACAAACAGACCCAACATTTGAGAGAAGAATCGATTTGGAAACCTTACAACATGAATGATTAATTGTTGCAAACTGTAATCACTACCTTAAAAAAATCTTGCTATGTTAATTGAGAAGATGAATTTGTTTGATGTAGCATCTGAAGATAAATAGGAAGGTTCAATTTTATATATAGAGGGTCTTATATAACAAACTTCATGAGGAACTTTTCAAATTTTTTTTTTTAGTAAATTGTTACTTTAAGTAGTTAGTTGATTCATTCTATAGCATGTCACTAATTTAAATTTCTCAGATTAGCTTGAGTTCTGGAAAGTTCCAATTTTAGAAACTCAATTCCATCCTATAATTGTGCATTTGTGATAATTGTGATGATTATTATAATATCAACAATTCCAACTTCACTTTCCACAGAATATTGTACATGGATAAACTAAAGCAAAGAATAAGCAGAGGTTCACTCTGAAGGTTCACCAGGTTTTCAGCTTCATGTGCAAAAACAAAAGCCTCGGGATAATAGCGTGGAGTGCTTGAAATCAAGACCTAGAGTTGGCAGCCTAAGGCTGCAAGTGACCTCGGGCCTGGGCTGCAAAATAGCTTGCATGGAGAACATCTTAAACTTCATTACTGGTTTGGGAGATCCAAGCACGCATCTAGTATCCTGTCAGCCAATTTACCAAAAATTATGGTAGCCAATCAGGACTAGACTTCTGAACAAATCTGAACAAGCTTCAGCTTAAGGGTTCTTCGGCGTATTCCTATCTTTTTCACATTTATGGAGGACGCTAATCAAACAGAAACATACATGAGAAGGATTGAAGAAGTTCAATCAACTTCCAAGAAGATCCATTAACAATGCAATGGAGAAAAATGTACAAATAGCACTACCACAAAAATAAAATTAATTCAGGAATTGGCATACGGATGAAATAAGAGCAGGGAAAAATCAAATTAACACCAGTTTCTTTCATTGTTTTTCAATCAAGGGTTCAGCACACGGTTTAATTAGAATCACCCAATAATAGTTTTTGACACAATGCAGATAAATGGAGTGCTGGCCTACGTCGCAAAATTAAAAATCAAGAGGAATGCCAAATCCATGCCTCTTATAACTGTCAATATTTTACCATATCTTTTTTTTTTTTTTTTTTTTTGAGAAGTCAATATTTTACCATATCGTGAAATATTTACATATGATATTTTCATTGAATTACACAAAAGGACTGAAAATTCAAATAATTCTATCTTGCATTCATAGAACCAAGAAACCACAGATGGCTCTAAATTCTAAATAAACATACCTTCCGTTTAACGGGTGCTGAAGTGCCAATGACTGGTTTAAAGAATGATTCTAATCTGCATGGGGTAAAAATGAAAAAGGATGGTGTCATAGATCCATAAAAGAACAAGATTTCTGAACCAATTTTCCAAATTTTAAGCATTTCATACCGGCCCTGTGATGATTTGTTCTTGGCTGCCTTAATTTTTTCTATTGCCTAAGACAAATCAGAATAAAAAATTAGTTAAAACGTTATGTCATGTTTAAGAAAGCAATAAAACTACATCTACAGCATTCATAGGATGATATTTTGTTGCCATGCCTTCGTAATTCTGTCACTGTTGAAGCCATTTTCATTAACCAGAAATGTTATCAACCCCTAAACACAACAAAACAATGGAGATCACTGTAAAATATTCCAAGAGGGAAAATAAAAAACAATAAAAGGTATTTGACTAAAATCAATCACTTCTTCATCAGGAGCGGCCCATTTAAGCTCAAGTTGTTCATCATCAGTAAAGACCAATGGTTCTTTGAAGAGTTGTCGAGCCCCCTGATATGGCCAATCATCTGGTATTTGGTACCTGCACATAGAGAAAATATGATTATAATTTTATTTTTAATTTTTTATAAGTAAAAAATATATGCACAAGGATGTTAACAAATCAAACTCCATGGGAGTAGAATATAGAAAAGGACAAAAGCACTCTGCATTACTGACATGTCCTCAGTAATACATGTTACGTTACTCTTGAACACCTTAAATTGAGAAATTGAAGTTGTAGTTTAAAACATGTTTATGTTATAATGACAGTTTTCATCAAAGTCATTCAATAAGATGGCAAAGTTTATGCACTCTAGGATGATCATTTATATGTAATTATGTGATTTTATCATATAAAAACAGTAATTTGGGCTGTAACAGAAAACGTGAAATTGAAAAACAGAATAGGAACTTAATTACCATCATCGATATAAACTAATGTGTGAGCCAATAATACTTATTGTGTGCTCATTATTGTTGAAATATTATAATGATCAATTGCATAAAAAATATAAATTTATCTAAAAGACAGAAGATTAAGGCATTGAGTAATTTTAACAGATACAAGTGCCTTAATCTAATATTCACTACATGTAGTTGTTGAAGCCCGTTCAGTCTTAATTGTGGAGTATGACAACATCATGAATAATACAAAAGAATGCCCATGTCCAATACTAATACGAGATGTGTGAAATCCTCCAACCAAAGAATATATATTAATGTAAAGAGGAAAATGAAAACTCCAGAAGGCTAATATTGACATAGTTATGGACAAACTGGAGAGTTGGTGTGTGATACTGATATAATGTGTTACATAGGCATATCAAAAAAGTGTGCAGTGAAGGACATTTCATGTGACAAAAGTAAAAAACTGGAGTATACTTGTTATGAAGGTTTCAAACAATATCAATGTGGTGCAGGTTGTCACCTTCTCGCCACAGAAAAAGAAAAGCAAAGTCAGATTGTCATGGTGTCAAAAATGCCAAATTTGGGATAGTTTTATCCTGAGAATCTGTGTTACTGTACAAGATGTACAATATGAGTTCCAGCTTCTAAGTGCCTACAAAACTTCATACTAATATTTTGATCAAGGTATATATATTCATATATGCATCTCTTTTTCACAGTACTTCAAAAGCTCAAAATTACTACACAAAGTTACAAACTAAAAACTTGACGACGTATTCTACAGTATGTTTCTCATTTTCACCACCAAATGAATTAGTAATAAATGTCAAGCTGGAAAATAAGAAGAACCTCTCTTTGTTTATATTTTCCAGTATATTCTCTATCGAGCCATGTTGGCGGATAAGCTTCAAAGCAGTCTGTCCCCCAATACCTGATGCATAGAGTACAACATTCAGTGGAAGGATTACATAAGCTTCAATCATATTCACGTAAAAATGGTAATAAATAGACAAAGTGGTATGTTTTCAGATCAGATAATATACAACCAAACGATTTAAAAAATGAACAAAAGAAGCAGCAAAATATTAAAAGTTTAAACAAACTACACTTGCAGATGAAAATAAGAATTATGTTTATACCTTTAGCAGTCAAAACAAGGCCAGAAGTAGTTGAAACCTGAAGCAACTAAGCAAGGTGATGGATTTGAAGGACAATCGTTATGGTGAACTCCACAAGGAGGTAAAGCAATGGTTTGGACAAATCAAAAATGTACACCTTTGAATGCTAAGAAAGTCATTGCTTAGTTCAATGGAAAAAACTTGGACTTCCAAGCGTGTGGATCGCGGACCCAGCTTCTAGTCATAGATTAGCCACTATGCAGAAGGTCTGTTTGTCTCTAATATCCCTCCTTTTTGCACCCCTCATAGGCGGGAAATAAACTTGGTAAAGCACGTTCTAGAGTATAATTATACATGAAGCCTATATTATGTTCCTTTTCGATACATTATTGCTTCCACATGAGTGAGAGGCCCGTGTATTAATGAATTTCTCCTACATACCCCTGACAAGGAATCACTCAGCATTTTTGCAACCTCTTTGTTACTGGTTCCTTTATGGTAATTAAAACAAAGTAAGTCAGAAGAGGTGCCTCAAGAATCATCAGGTCTAAGGTTTGAATCCTCTTGGGTGCAAATGAAGAGGAAGACGGGGTTTGTGAGCACCGACTAAGAAAAAAAAAAAAAAAATGAAGTCAGAAGACTAAACAGCATACTTTTGATCAAAGTGATCCTTGGACCTTTAGACAAATATTGCCTTTTCCAGTCCATAAACCTCTTTTCAAAACTTTATACTATTGGTTCCATAATGTTTTTGCTTTGAAAGACAAACATTCAAAGCATAACAACACACATCTCCAGTATCTTAATTGATCAGTCTGGCTCACAAAAAGAATGATGTTGTCACCAGTATAAAAAGGATGAGATAACCTAACCTGAGGGCCCTCAGTCTTACCCAGCTGGAAACCCTCCAAGTCTGTCAACTATCTTTGATATAATTGAAATATTCCATACAAGGATAAAAGGCAAACCCATTAAAAGAACCTCCCTATATCAAACCTCTCAAAGAAAAAGGAGGGGCGAGGGGAAGGGGGTAGAAAACTCTAGACATTTCATATAGGCAAAAAACCCAGTACGAGTCCACTAACACACACCAAACTGCCAAAGATCTAACTTGTGGATATGCATGTTGAATTCCACATCCTTCATCTCTCCCTAAAACCCTTCCTCTTTATCACATATAAGATGAAACACCAATTCACATGATCACATCCCTGGAATCCAAACTCACTAGGCAATAATACTAAATCCAACCAACAGGCCAGTAGCCTAGCGGTACCAAGCCCCTACTTCTCAAAGAGAGGTCAAGGGTTCGAGCCTCAGTGGAGGCATGTGTGTGTGAGTTCCCAACTAGGAAAAAAAAAATAATACTAAATCCAATATTTGCCAATAATACTAAATCCAATATTTACCTTTCCCCGGAAAGCATTTTAAGAATCTAACACAACTCTACTCACCACATTTTCAACCTCAACCAAACTTTTTCCAGCAATTTATCAGCACTCTCCCCCAAAAAGAAAGTATCAAATTTCCAGCCAAGAAAATGAAGGAAAACGAAAGAAAAGAGAGTTCAATATATTCAATATGGGTCTATAGCATGTGATAACATCTCATGCACTCAAGCATAATTTTTTTTTTTTTGTGGAAGGTAAGCATAAATTTTAAAGCACCATGTGCCAATAACGTTTGCAGTAAAAATAACCAATTATTACTTGTCCTTGCCCCAACATATGCATCATCAAAATATCAAACTGAGAGAGTTTTTTGCTTGTCTAGGCTATTATTTTTATTTTCGTTCTTTTAGAATAACTTTCTCTCAGAAAATGAAAAAAAGAACGGGAAAAAAAATAATACATCAAAAGAGGTTCATGTAATCTATCAAATACTGAATAGACAAATCAAACATCTAACAATAGTAATGCGAGTGAAAACTCACAGTACCTCGAATACTGTCACAATAGTCACATCCACTAAGAATGCACAAGTCTATAAACTGATCCATAGTGAGATTCAGTTCCTCCAAAACCTGAAACAGAATCACTATCAGTAAAAATGAGTTCAACTTTTAAGTACATACCAAGAAATGAGCAACAACACAGTTGCATTCTATATTTTTAAGCACCTTCGAAACTTCAAATTCCATAACTGGGATTTTTCTTGAGCTAGGATCCATTAAATGGCGAAGAAATCTAGGAGCTCCAAAAGTTAGAGAATCCATGTCTTCAGAGGCCACGGCATAAACCTGATATGCACACAAACTCTTCAAAAACCTCACTAAAGGTAAGCTTCCAGCAAAAGTGGATTTGATTCATTTTCGCAAAAAAATTTCAATGCCAAAAAAAACTCATACCGTTGTATGAATCCACCATAGAAAACAATAGAATAAAGATATGGACAAAGAAAGGATGACTTAGATAGTTAGATTCAATAGAAGGTACTAAGGCACCCAAAATAAACAAACTACAATGAACATGTGGATACGTGCCTTTCCTGATTTGCAAAGTTCTGCACACTGTGCCTCTGCCTCAGAAGGAGCCTAAGAAAATGACAATTTGTCAGAATTTTAACTTGTTACCTTTTCATTTTGGCAGGGATGCATACTCAAATATATAAAACTCCAATTTTAAACAGTGACATATGAGAAAGGAACTATATATAAGCATAATCTCACACAAAAAGTATTTCATTTCATAATGTCACCTCAATTACAGGTACTCCCATGAGTCTTAGAAGTCTTTTGCAGTCATCATTGTGTTGTTTAGTCACCTACAAAACCAAGCAGCACATTGGCTCAACATCATTCAAATATCTAGACCTTCTTCTTATTCAACCTTTATTATTTAACACTTAGCAGAGAATGGATAAATAAATTTTTCAACAGAATGATAACTAATGTAACTTTTATTAGCAATAAGTTGGTCTGAGCATTAACAACCTTAAATAATAATAAAAATATTGGAAACAACAAACTGAAATATGGGGAGAATCTTCTCACTTGAAGGAGATATTCCAGACAACAATGCATAATGATCCTATTAATTAGTTCGTATTTGGTTGATACTTTATGACTTGTAACATGGCATAACCTCCAAAAACCCCATTCATTAAAGTTGTCCATTTCAGATCATCCTCCCTGCCTCTTGTTATGATAGCATATAACTTGGAGAGGAAATCTACCACTCCAGATCCCGGGCCTATGAAAACGAGGGTCCCCAAACACCCCTCCATCTGATGCACTTACACAATAGCAATGAAAGCATTCTTTTAAACTGCAATGCTAAATTGGATTTGGAGACACCTTGAAAGATTTTTTAAAACATAAAGGGAGTTATCCCTGGGTTCATTAAGCTCTAAATGTTTGTTGACTAAAAACTAACAAGCTAAATGAACCATATATACTGAATTTTCTCATGACATTACTTCCACAGAATCACTCAATAATATACACAGCTTACCAAAATTATGGTTTCTGGGGTGTTTATAAGCTACATATGCAAAGACACACGCATGGATGTGCTAAGAACCCACCTTCACTGTTCGTTTGCTGAACTTCTCAATCTCTTCCTTATTGCCAGTCTGCAATGACAAGCATTTTGCACGCAACATTTCATGGAAGAGCATAAAACAAGAAACAGAACACATAAATGTAAAGGGGAAAATTAATGATGAAATGGAACTCTACATGACTGCTTTGGTTATGGAATTACTTGTTTACCTCTATGGCCGCATTCAAATCCGCAGTGGCATCTGCCCTTTTCGCGTAACTGCATATCAAAGAGCTTATATGAAAACCATAATAATCAAACACACCCCCATAATATTTAGAAGAATAAGTACAACCAAGCTACTGATAGCAAAAAAAATACCGCTTAGCCAGCTCTTGATTTTTCAACTCCGGAGGCTTTCCATCAAAAACATAACTAACAGAAGATACTAAATGAATTAGCAAAGCACGGACGGTATGTAATACAAAACATAAATATTCCAAAAGCAAAAACGGTAATGAAACAATTACACTGGCTTTAACCCCGCTTCCAAAAGCCTGATTGTACGAGTAAACATTCCTTGTAAGTGACTAAAACATTAAAAAAACACATTAGCCAACAATTTATTCAATATTTATTATATACATCCATATATATCATAAAGGCAAGAATGAAATATGCAGAAAATCAACTCATGATGTAATCAAAATTCATATATACAATACTGTTGGCACAAATTTTTGAGTAAAGTACCTTGTAACTTCACCAGCCTCGTTGGTAAGCATTTCAGTGCCGGCTCTTCCCACAACGATCTGAATCATTCACAATCATCCAACTAAAGTAAATAAACACTTGAACCAAACAATTTTCATACTCATATTCGCATTTGCATATATACATACAAACATATACATACATACACATATATATATATATATATATATATATATATATATATATATATATAAGAGTGAAATGTACGGACAAGGAACTGGTAGATGCTCATGCTGGCGTCAATGGCGACTTTGCGGCCAAAATAGCTATCGAATTTCTGCTCTTTCATGGCCTTTGGGGCATTGTCCGCTAAAAGCTTTGTTAAACCCTAAAATAAGAGAGACGTGAAATGATTGTAATGAAGTGATCAAATTAAATACAAAGCAAAGCGTATACAACGATAGATTTATATAACAACAACCTTTATACCCATCTGGAGAGAGATTTAGAGGAAGTATTTTGAGATTTCAAGAAGGCAGGGTTTCACAGTCGCTCAGGTAGGGTTCACTCCTTTCCCGCCTCTTTTAGTGTGTGTATGTGTGTGTATTTGTGATGAAATTGTAGTGTTCAGTGTACGCATTGTTTTGATCTTATGTATTGACAACCCACCCTAGTGTCCTGACTAAAAAATGAATGCTCGCCACGTAATGAAATATCATCTAAGAGACAAAGACTGAGATCTACCGTCTGATCACATGCTACTTTGTGTAGCGTATTCCGGCCGAGATTATCTATGGGCTTGAAACCACGGGTATGTAATGGACCTGGCTTGCCCATTGTAATTGGGCCTGGCCTGGCTATTTTGATGTCCGAGGGAAAAAGATTGGGCAATTAAACTACTAGGAGAATATTAGGCGAAGAACATTCATTTATGAACCGAATTTGGCTGAATTCCATTTATTTGAGTGGGTTGGTGGACATGTCATATATAAATGGGATTAGATAATTACCGAATTCGATCCATAAATTACTACGTGTGAAAAATGATGATGAATTGATGTCACGATCCATCCTCCTTTGAATAGGGATGAATAAGATTTGGGCTAAAAACCGTAGCACCTCCTGACACCAAACTTTTGAGTCACAAACTTTTGCATGATAAACACTCAACTTGTCATAAGTGGTATCAAAGCAGATCCAGTCTCTTATCCGATGTCATCGCAAACTCCAACTCATTCCTTTGAATTTCTTTTTTTTTTTTTCTTTTTTCTTGTATTACTTTGAGAAAATCATATTAAATTTGTAATTTTCCTATCATACCCACACTCGTGTGCGTTTGCTTCTTGTTTTAAATGAAACTAATTATAAAACTTTCTAAAACATGGATTGTTGAAGACTGTTATTCTGTTGTCTAAAAGCAACAAACACTGTGTAACGAAAAGCTTTTCCTCTAGATAGCTTGAAATGAGTAAAAATGATAATGTTAAGGGCAATCATAATGCGTTGCATGGGGATGTCCACATCACATGATCTAGGGATGAACAATTTGTAGACCGTACAAGCAACTTGCATCATTTAATGTTGAAACAACCTTTATACTGTGTACTTATACGCAGGGGCGGAGCCAGAAATTTGGTTCGGAAGGGCATGTTAACAATGACAAAATAATTTTTTTTCAAGTAGGCCGAAAATATAATAATGTAACATTAGTGCATTGAAATAAGTAAATAAAAAATGAATAAGAAGATGAAAAAGAAGGGTTATTGCACACAAATTATGCATGAGTGCAAGAAAAATAAATTTTTAAGAAGAAAAAAATATGAGAGAATTTTGAAGAAAAAAATAGATTTTAATTGTAAAAAGAGAATACAAAAGTTTTTGAAGATAACAAAAAAAAAATTGAAGAATAAGAAAGAAAAGGAATAAAGAATTAAAGATGTTTTTAAAAATAGATAATTTTATGAGGGTGTTTTATAAATATTTATAAATTATACACATAAAATAAAATAAAATAAAATATAGTAGATTCAGGGTCAAATGGACCATTTTAATAATTTCAGGGGAGCATTGTATCAATTTTTACAAATATATGTATAAAAATATATATATATATATATATATATATATATATATATAGTGGGGCAGCATGGGAAGGGGGGGCAGCTGCCCCCCCGGGCACATGCTGCCTCCGCCACTGCTTATACGTTATAACAATCTTTAAATGTACTTATAATTGTACGAGAGTTGTCATTCTTGCCCTAATATAGTAACACGATTACGCGGCATAAGTGATCTAGGTTTACTTAAATTGTATTCCAAACATAGTATTATTCATTTCAATTTGTCCAATTCGTTTAGAATTTGATTGACCCGTTTAATTAAATGTGAAATAATTCATTTAATTAAAATTTTATGTTCGTGTTATAAATGAAATGAATCTAATAGTATAAAATTTTATTTAAATGTGTTTTTATCGTCTCGTGTAAGGTCTTTACTCTATTATTAAATGAGTTTAATCATGTCATTATTTGTTTAAGAATCGTGTCAATTCATATACCAAAATAATCATGTCATGACACGAGATGAATAACACGGAAATATGAATTGATACCCTAAATTGTTGTCCAATCACAATTTTAAAGGTTACAATTGTAAAAAGCCCAATTAAGAGAAGTATTGAGTTGAATTTTTTTTCCTAAATGGTTCGTCATATCGTCTGATACGTGACGTATCGGTCGATATGCTACCATTTTTCAAGCCCGATATGCAACCTGTATCAGTCAATTTACACTGACTTTGTTCAAGTTCATTACACCGTAATCGTAACCGTAACCGTGACCAATAATCACTTCCCTTTCTTTGATATATCAAGGCTGCAAGTAGCAAGCAGTGGAGAGTGGGATGGCAGCTGAAGGGCACATCAGCCCCCACCCCACGAGTCACGACAATGTGAGAGAGTTCGTGAGGGACCCTAATGGACGAAGAAGGCATTGCGACCTTGAAAAAGAAATGGTTGGGCCATGCCCATTGTTTCTGTCCCAACCCCAACTTTTTTGGGCATATGCATGCTATCATCATGGATGGAATTTTCTCAAATGGCTGTTCTCTCTCTCTCTCTCTCTCTCTCTCTGTATATATATATATATATATATATATATATAATATGTGTCTGGCAGGCTGCTTAATTTAATGGACTAAAAGAAAACTTGGTAGCATTTAACAACCAAGCATCAAAGACCCAAGTAAATACAAGTTTGAATATTTATTCTTTAATTACTTTATTTTCTTCCATTACCAAACAAAACATTATTGAGAGGCAGCGGATGAGACATGAAGTTTGAAGAATCCCACCGACAGGCCAAAATACCGTAACACATGAAACATTTATTTTTAAAAATAAAAAATAATAATTTAATTATTTATTTATGGGTGGGGTGTGGGTTGGGGAATAATATTGAAAAAATCAAGTCATTCATCACATTCTTTCGAGTTCCTTGACCCCATTTTCAATGACAAGTTCAAAATTTAATCATATGCTACACTTTGATTGCTTTTTGAGCTTTTCGTTGATAGACTGAATAATAATACACTGTAAATTGAGTAAAAGTCTAATAATAGAGTCATATGAAAAAATAGCATTGTAGTGTTGCTCTTGACATGAGTTTTATTTACGAGCTTACGGGTTTGAAATAAGAAAAAAGGTATCTTCGTATTCGAACGTGGAGATAAATTTACATATTATCCTCTCCAGATCTGGCAATGTATGGAGTTTGGTACACTGAACTTACCTTCTCTTTTTAAATGGATAATTATATTTACCTCCCATGTAAATTACCTAAATAACAAAGACTTTTCATATGGTTTCAAAAATAACACTGATCTCCCTATAAGTGGAACTTTGACCCGAACCTGTTAAATGATTAGTATACCCGTTGTGCTTTTTTTTTATTTTTTTTATGTAAATATTTGTTTTTGTTGGACAAAATACCATTTTAAAACTTTCTAAGGGTATTATCAGATTTTAAGTAAATATTAAGTATAACAATGTCAAATTTTATGACAGACAAAATTAATGTTACTCAGACCTAAACCAAAGGGAAGACAGTGTTAGATTTGAAGAAATTAGATAAGAGGTCCCTATTATTTAGACAATATACAAGAGAGGTAAATATAATTATCCCATTTTTTAATTAGGTAAGTACACGTGCATAACATTGTTCATGTTGAGCTGGAACCCCTTGTATTTGATAATAGAGAAATTATATCATTAGATTAATAATCCATTCACGAGTTTACCCTTCTACACGATTTTATCAAGATTTAAAACCTAGCTTAGAAATTCAACTATTAGGTCAATTGAGAATAAGGCTAAATAAATAAAAATTTAAATGGTTCTATAATTTTATATCAACTTGTACGTTAAAGTTAATTATTTTAAAATTGGTTCAAGTCCTATAACCAATTTGGCTTATGTTTTCTTTGAAGTCATGCCTCTCTAAAATTTACTGTTTAGCAAACACTATCGTATGAGGTGGGTGAACAATATATATAATTCATACAATACCCACTTTATAAAAGGAATTAAATTATATAATCTGCAGTGACATATATTCACTTTTTTATAAGATAAAGATAATAATATTGTTGTTTGGTACTTGTTTTGAATTGATTGAAGTCCTGGATGAAAAGAAACTTTCTTCCAACGTAGGACCTAATAATCAGAGATTCATAGTTGGTGGCACCACTCAAAAATTATCTCATTTTAATTTTTTGTAATGGTAAAGAAGAAAAATACGTAGTAAAATAAAATAAAAACCTTATTTCGATTATGTACACTCTTCGTATTGACTACAATAATAGTACCATCAATTCGTCACTTCCCATTTCGGATTTATTTATTTATTTATTTTTATTTTTATGTTTTTTTAAAAGAGGTTCAAGCCTAAATATGGGTAAAAGTGTGTACGAGTAGGGGTGACAATGGAGTTGGTTTTGGACGGGTGTACTCTCTCCTGCTTCCATAATAGTTTAGAAACCCCTACCCCTTACCCACTCAAAATCGTCTAAATGAGGGACATTTTCACTCCATCCACGTCCCATTTAACTTTTTCATACTCGTGCGCACTCACCCCACCTTGTATGGTTCGAGAATTTCTTTTCATTTTTTTTTTTTCCTCAAATATAATTATATAACTATTAAAAAAAATCATAAAAAATGGGCAATCAATAATTTAATAAAAAATTCAAGAGTATAAGTGTTCTTAGTTCGTAGGGCTCTGCTGCTCTTTAGAATAGTTGAAAAAGTGAGTAGATGTGACCTAAGGTTTCTTAAACTAACTATATATACTAATAAAAAAGAGTAATTTAGTAATTTTATTACTTAAATTGGGCGGGGTGGAACCCGTGCTGGTTTTAATTAATAAAAATTATTTCTGCTCAAATAAGCTAAATGGTTCTCTAATATTGCTATAAACGAGGCGGGGGTGGGGTGGGTACCCATTTCTGCGAGACAAATTGTCATCCCTATGTACGAGTGAATTTTTAAAAAAATACTTTTCCTTTCTCATTACGAATGCAGGTTATACCATTTGATTAAATGCCATTGTTTCAAACTTTTTACTTTGTACACTCT